TAAATGACGTCCGCAGCCTGTTTGTTGTCTGCTGCACCTTGTCTTCTGTCTCTAAGCTTCGAAGCACTCTCTTCTTGATTTTGTTTCTCCTCTTCTCCCCCTTGTCTGTGAAGTCTGCTTTTAAAGTGCATTCAAGTGTCTTTTCTTGCATTTCCCTGTGCTCTCCCCCTTATTCCTCTTCCTCCTCCTGTCGGATAACACCGAGCATCGAGCCCCTTTCATCCTTTGCTGTGTCACTTCCTCTCTTTACATTCCCATCCGTCCTTCATCTGTTTCACTTATCTGACAGTCTGATAGGACCCAGGACTAAGCACTTCACTTGCCTTTTCTTACAACTTATTTTTTCTGTCTTCTTCAAGGACCCAAAACAAGAACTCAAATTGATTCCTTTTGTCATTTTCCCCCCTTCTGTGTTTTATAGCCTCTTTGCCTCCCACACTTGCAGTCCCCCGACCATCAGCGTGCCCCGGGCTCTTATTAATTACCACCTTTTGTAAAAACAAATCCTCTCTCTGCGGAGCTTTCCCTCCGGCATCTTTTTGTCGAGACCATGTTAGTCGTGTTCCTACCACCTCCTGTTATAATGCTTTTAACTTGTTTCCCATCTGGCCGTGTCTCTCTTGAATCCTCGTCTGTCACAACCTCACAGCACATCTGTTTACAGTTGAGCAATTCCAAAATGGCCGCCTTCTTGACTCTCCAAACAGCCAAGAGGAGGTCAGCGCTGCTGATTATCTCTGATTGGCATCGGAGCGTCATTTAAGTGCTTTGAACCGTCCTACTTTCAGATGTAAACAAAATAATAGTTGCAGCCTGTTTCACTGAAGACTCTGACGTGTGATTTCAGCGGAAAAGTGCAACTCCCCCCTGGGGAATTTATATATTTCGCTGTCGGCCATGTGTTGTTGATCGGGGGAAATGCATCCATTATTGGAGATAAATAGAGTTTATTGGAATTTCATGGCTCAGAGAGTATTAATACATGCTAATGAAGTGTGCTGTAAGTAACTGATTGCCTCCACTGCCAGTATATGATCTCACCAGCTTTGTATGTGGTAATGAGAGGTGTGTGTGTGTCCCAATTTTCCACTACGCACTGATTCGAAAAAGTATATCAGTGTGTGTATTGGAAAAGTGACAGAGTATTCATGCTACAATTTAACTTTTGTATTTGTGTCTACTGTTACCTTGTAGGGGAAGTGTTATTACTGTAGACTAGGCAAGTGCTGTATATTTATTAAGTATATTTTAAACACCAAAAAAAAGCAATTTGAAGTTCATAAGAAGGAAAATAAAGCACAATTTAAAAGGAGTTAAAAAGTCAATAATTATAATATTAAATAAATACAGTTTCAGTGCCATTATTCCAGTGTTAAAGGTGGGGTAGGTAATTTTGGAGAAACCAGCTAAGCGGTTGACCAATCACAACAGAGCCGACCAGCTAACCAATCAGACGGTCTGGACGTGTCTTGTACGGTGTATGCGTTCACAATCCTTCTCGTAGTGAGCAGTGGAGTGGGCCGAGCTCGAGTTATAGTCGCATGGTACATGAAATAATGGAGGACGTTTCCTTATCCTTCCATCAGGAGTGTGTGTCTCGACCGCACGCGCTGTTGATCAAGGACTTGTCACACCAAAAACTGTCACGGATAGTGGATGTTCTGTCCCACAATCAGTCCGTTCTAAGTCGTTTTGGCCAAGTTTCGCATAAAGACCGGAATCAAGTCTTAATCGATTCCGAGCGCACGTCTTTATTTGTACTGTCAGGGGTATGCTGGAAGAGGTATGCTTCGACTTAGTAGTACATAGTGTATATACGATTTTGTCACACAGGACTGCGAAAAGGTCGATTAGGTATGGTAGGACGAATGGCGTGTGTCGAAGCCATCCGGAGAATAGTAGACGATGAGACTATAATCTTCTCAGTAAGTCCATAAAAGGGGTTGTACGGTGTGTAAAAATTGAGACACTAGTTTGGGCTCGACGCACAGTGGACACCCCACAGTGACAAAGTTTGAAAAAAAAAAAAGGGTTACTTACCGAGTATCTATTTACTCGAAAAATTAATTCACCCACTTTGGCTTAGTTAAGGAAAATCGCCTCAAGTCACTTTTCAGACTTTAGAGTTCAACTGTTTACATCCTAATTTATAACCTTCTCAGTGTTGAGGCCACTTATATAACGACCATTTTACAATAGATGTCCCACGGTAGCTTGTACTTCAAGGGAGAAACTGGAAAAGGACAGTTTGAAGGACCATCGTTGTGACTGACCAGGTAACAGAAAGGGTAAGTACGCACAAGACAAACCAAGTCCCCAAGACGGTCAATTGTGGTTCGCGTTCCCTAGCGTTAGTTATAGTTGAGTAATGATTATGGCTGTGTTGTAAACTTGACGACAAGTCATTACTACGTTAATTGAATTTGTATTTAGTTATACCATCTTTTGTTAATTGTTTAATTGTAAGTATAAAGAAAAAAGGTTATATCCAATTGAATTTCCACCCCATCCCATTCAAACTCTTTGGCCCACGAGCTCCTATGGGAAAAACAATATAAGGTACCTTACGGGAATTGTAGTGGCTATCGTTACTTATAGACTTCACCGAACTGTTATTTATGGTAGTTTTTTACAGTAGACACATGAGCATTTTTGTGCTGGTTTAGTAACTCGGCCGGGGCCGATTTCATTGACTACCGGATGGACGGACAGTCGGGAAGGTAGACACGTGTTTGAATAGAGCACGGGGTAGTAACCAGTACACGCGCGAACACACACAACCCTCCTCCCCGACGACA